AGGCCATTTACTAGCTAAGTTCACAAGGAAGCATCTATGTCAGAGGAAGGATATAGCTAAACTTTTGAATCAAGCTATGTAATTGTAGATAACTATATGTAAATTAAACACACATGTGCTCACCAGCTGTATGTGTATACACATAGATACTTGTACATACACATATAAACATACATATACATTTGCCTTTATATATAATCCAAGGGCAGAGTTTTTTTGAGTTTGGCAATATCACACATTATTGTAGGACTACATGATCCACCTTTTTGCCTTGCTTGTCCAGCTTGATGAGCCATCAGATATCATTTCAGGCAGCTACGAACCCAAGTTAATTGGATTCACATGTAATTCCATTGAGGAAAAATAAAGCAGGTGTGCCTAGTCTTAGGGACATAAGAATCACACACAAATTCTTATTAAAATCATGAAAACCTAATTAATAAGACCTTTGTAATACCAAAACTAAGTCATAGGCTTTCTCTAAGAAAGCAGTTTTACTTTCCCCACAACAGATCTAAAATCTGTTCCACTACACGGTCAGCCAAGGTCTGTGCTCATGTATTAGCTTGTCTCTCTGTGTAAGTTAACAATTCCTATGCAATTATTATAGACTTGTAAAATTGCCAAAGCTCTGTCATAATTTATCTAAAACTGATATACTTAAGTAGGTTTTCTTGTTTCTTACTTTTCATATTCTTTATTAAAAGTCAAATAACATACATTTTTCAAGTAGTTACTTTTGCACCCTGCACAAGAGTTTAAAAGGAATACCTTTTCTAAAATATCTATTATCTAGTTTGGGCAACATTATGTTCCCTAACACACATATATAAATTAACACAAGCAGCACTCCAGTGCCAGATTGTATGGTACAAACCTTAAATTATGTCACAATTTAGAGACGGCAGATAATTGTAGAGTAGAATCATCAGGAAAGACTTCTAAATCCAATAGTAGTTGTGTGTGTGTGTGTGTGTGTGTGTGTGTGTGTGTGTGTGTGTGTGATTGCATTGATTTTATTTAAATATTGTGGGTGTCATGTAAATTATCTTATTTCAAATTCAAATTTGGTTCTTAGACCTAATAACAGCACCTCATTAACTTCCGTATCTATTATTCAGCTAGAGACAGTTTGGTTAACAAGGCAGGGACTAGCATTAACCTGACAGTTACATCCTGATTTGTGTGGAGAGGGAGGGATGTGACCAGAGTTTCTTACTTCCCAGAACAGCTGTGTCTGCCACTAGTGAGGGCTGTGTCTACCAAATATCTCTGTTTTGCCACCTAGTGGTAAGGGGATGTCATTGAATGCTTTGATTTCTTAACAGTTTATTGTTATAGATGACTGTCATTTAACCTTAAAATCAAAAGCAGACCTTTTACCATCTAGAACAGAATAGCTGAAGAGTTTATTTAATTTGAATGTAATTGTATTACTACTTCCAGACAACCAATAAAAGGCAGAGTCCTTGGATTTATCTGTGAATCTCTCATTGGCATTTTGTTAAAGTAAAATATGGCAGATGCAAATGTGAGTGTATACAGAAAAGCAATAGGATTAAGAAGATTAAACTTTTATTATGGAGAATAAATGTGGCTTTTCTTCTGATCAGAATGATATATATATATATATGCATATATATATACATATATATATGCATATATATAGTTTATGTGAATTAAGAAACATTGATGCTTAAGAAAAAAATGTTAAGGAATATAATGTTTCTATTTCACTAGAGATGATAGAGTCTTTTGAGTGTTTGAGAAAGGAAAATGACTTGGGCTTTCATAATCTTTATGAGTTTATCTTGATTTAAGAAGTCTACTGGTATGTCTTGAAGGACTTTAATAGATAGATTGTATCAGTCCAAAGCTTGCTTATCAGGATTTTTCAAATCTTCTGCTCTATTCTTTGAAAACAAAATAAATACTTTACTTTTTTTAATTATATACTGAATTTCTTTAGAATTCCTTACACTAAACATGGATATAGCTATATTTTTAAAGGGCCATTCCTACAGTAATCTCAAACAGTATCATAAACAATAATCTGTAAAGACAAACACTAACCTCAAACATAGTACCATATAATCTATATGTATCTATGTACAAATAATATTAATAATAATAACTCATATTTTAAAGTCTACAGAGAATTATCCTCACAAAATCCCTCACAGGTTTCATTTTCATTGGTTCAGAATTGAGAAATTCAGTCTCTGAAAAGTTAAATGACTTGCCCAGCTCACACAGCTAACAAATATTAAGAGTGAGATGTGGACCCAAGTCTCTTTTGACTCCAACTTTATTTTTCTACTATACCGTAGAATAATTCACAACATATTGTGTATATGTGTGTGTTTTCTAGTAGGCTCATGTTAATGATAACATTAATAAATCAATCAAGTGTTTATTAAGCCCTTACTATGTGTTATGCAGTGCTGCATGAGAGAGACAGAAAGACAAAAGAAAGACAGTCCCTCTCCTCAGAGCTTGCATTTTAATGGAGGAGACAATATGTATATATAAGTATATACAAGATAAATTTAAAGTATATACATGGTAGCCTCAGAAGGTGAAAGCAGTAACAGCTTGGTGGGGTGGGGAATAGGAAGAAGACCTGGAAACTTATCCCACAAAATGTGGTACTTGAACTGAGTCTTGAAGAAAACCAAGGGTTCCAAGGGGTGAAGGTGAGAAAGGAAAGCATTTCAGGCATGGGAGACAGGCCAGGCAAAGGCATGAGAAGGAAGGTGCTTTTTCTGAGGAACTGAAAGTAGGACAGTATGGCTGAATAGAGAGTGCTTAAAATGTAGTACTGTGTAGACTGGAATTGCAGAAGCCATTTTTAAATGAAGCTTTTAGTTGATTCTCATGGGAATAGGGAACTACCAGAATTGACTGAAAAAGTGATTGACATGGTTCAGTGGTGATAATATAGAAGATGATTGGAGAGGAGAGACACCTGAGGTGGGGAAACCTATTAGGAAATTATTGCAAGTAATTCAGGCAGAGGACATGAATTAGAATGTAGACCGTGTGAGTGAAAAGAAAGTGTTATAAATGAGAAATGTTATAAACATGGAAACAATAAGGTTTGACAACTGATTGGATGTATGGAGTGGAGGTTCAAGTATGACACCAAAGTTGAGAACCTGGGTGCCTGGAAGGAAGGAAGGAAGGAAGGAAGGAAGGAAGGAAGGAAAAAAATAAATTACATGGAAATTGATTAAATAGATACATGAGGCAATTATAAATATATAGATAGATACATGCATATTGATACACTTATATGCCTGTATCGTATCTATCTATCTTGTATGTATAAAATTATTTACATGCTATTTCCCCTATTAGAATGTGAGCTTCTTGAGGACAGGAAATGGTTTTCTCTGTTGGCTGACTGACAATTATAACGTCTTCCTTACTGAAAGTTTTCCACTTGGACTGTTGGGACACTTTACTTTCTATGATAATAATAGACATAGTGTTTTAGGGCTTACAAAATGATTCACATACATTCTTTCATTTGCAGTAAACCTGGGCCTTGCAATAACCTTGTGAGGGACTTGTGACAGATATAATTATATCAATTTTACTAAGCAAGACACAGAGGCTCATAGTTAAAGCAGTTTGCCCAAGGGTATATTGCTTACAAATGTTGGAGGAAGAACTTGAAGACAGGCCTTTGCCTTCACTCTAAGTCCAGCATCTTTATCTACTACTGCCTCCATTCCTTTATCCACACCGATTTTCATTTTCTAGGAGTGGATTACTGACTTTATAATGGAAGTCAATGGCAAAAATATATGTTTTAAAGTGGGCTTTGCTGAAATATATCTGCTCTATGAAGTGATGCAAAATCTGTGTGGGTCTTCCTTCAGTCTATTGCTAAGAATTCAGGGGATATTAATCCAACCTTTGAATTATCTAAGCCTTTTACTTCTTCTGTTTCCCTCAGCTGCCTATTTGCAGCATTTCAGGGCCTTTTAATACCTTAACACTCAAAAGGAGAACTAGGGAGGAGAGAAAATTCAAAACTCACTTTGTTACACCATTTAAAGATTTGGTGTTGAATGAGATAAAGTCTCTGACAAAATGAAGTGGGTGATTAGCTGTGAATTTTAGTCATAGATATTGTGTCTGTGCTTTGTTTTAATGGGATGGACTCCACAGTTCCTCTGTATATCCAAACTTTATAACTATCAATAACTGACCTTTTTTCTTCCTTATTCTGGGGGAAAAATTAATTGCATCAAATAAAATTTTCTATCCTACTAATATAACACATCTTTCCAATAATGAATTATTTTTGATCATAACTGATATCAGTCCTTCAAAGGTTTTCTAGGGACATCACCACATTCTAATATGTTATAGTTTCTTCTAATGAACTTCTGCTCCTCAACTACCATGTATGCTAAAGGCCTGCAGAGTCAAGTGAATAAAACTTGCTTTTTGACAGGTTGTTTGTATTTGGTAATTAGGATAGCTCTTATTAAGAGTTTGTATTTTTAATTCATAATTTTAAGATAGCTGAGGTTTTAATTATGCTGTATTTTCCTTATAAATCAACCCAAGAGGTAAAGAAAAAATACTTGTAATAAAATCTCAACCAACTTTAAATTTATACAAATTTATATTATAGAAAGTTGCCATATGACGTTCTAATAACATTTTTTCCCTCTGTCATCTCTGGAGGGAGAAAATGAAGTTATTGCATTATTTTGTCCTGTTTCAGTCAAGAACTTGTTTCAGAAGACAGTATAAAACATCCTATGACTGTCACTAAACATCAATATTTGGTAAGGCTTTACCTTGTCAATGAGGGTAAAAGAACAAGTATTAAAGGAAAGATGATATGCTAGATTATAACTCAAATAGCCTTTTGGTGTAGTCCTTTAAGGATTGTTTCTTGGTGAATACCACTACATCTAAGATGACAGTTTGCACTTTTATTTAGACTCAATTCTTTTTCTTTGCATTTCTTTCAACAGTGATCCAAATCAGCCAGTTCCACAAGATACCAAGTTTATACACACAAAGCCCAATCGTTTTGAAGAAGTCGCCTGGTCCAAGTATAACCCCAAAGACCAGCTGTATCTACACATCGGTCTGAAACCTCGGGTAAGGGATCACTATCGAGCAACCAAAGTCGCTTTCTGGTTGGAACTTGTACCTCATTTGCACAACCTGAATGAGATTTTTCAATATGTTTCCACAACAACAAAAGTCCCTCCTCCAGACATGACATCATTTCCTTATGGCACTCGACGTTCTCCTGCAAAAATCTGGCCAACTACCAAACGTCCAGCCATCACACCTGCCAATAATCCTAAACATTCAAAGGACCCTCATAAAACAAATCCAGAGGATACAACTGTTCTGATTGAAACAAAACGTGATTATTCCACAGAGTTAAGTGTCACTATTGCAGTGGGAGCATCCTTATTATTCCTCAATATTTTGGCTTTTGCCGCATTGTACTACAAAAAGGACAAAAGACGTCATGAAACACATAGGCGTCCCAGTCCTCAAAGAAATACAACAAATGATATTGCTCATATACAAAATGAAGAAATCATGTCTTTGCAGATGAAGCAGTTGGAGCATGATCATGAGTGTGAGTCTTTACAGGCACATGATACCCTGAGACTAACCTGCCCACCTGACTATACCCTCACTCTGAGAAGATCCCCAGATGACATTCCGCTAATGACACCCAATACCATAACCATGATTCCCAACACATTAACAGGAATGCAGCCTTTGCATACTTTCAACACCTTCAGTGGAGGACAAAACAGTACTAATTTACCCCATGGACATTCAACTACTAGGGTATAGCTCTGCCATTACCTTCCCCTCCTTTACTCTCCTTCCCTCAGCAACATCGAAGAAAGAAAAAGAAAAAAAAAAGGAATGTTTTTCATCAAGCAGACTTCAGATAAAAGGAGAAAGGGCAGTCATTATTTTCTTACTGACCCTTTTCAAAGGAACTTTCCAATATTAAAAAGATCAACTTCAAACCCTGTGAAATGTGAAAACGTGTACATTGCTGTTATAATACTGCTTTAAGATCCCAACCACTTCAGTGAAAGTTTAATGTGTATAGGACAGAAGAATAGCCCGCTTCAAAGACCTGGATGTTTTCATTGTAAGAAATAGAAGCTGAATCTTCTGGAACACAGCCAAGTGACTCTTAACCATTTTTTTAAAATAAAATTGAAAAAAAATTCTTTATGTGCCATGCCATGAATGGCCCTTCTTAAGTGAGGACAGTATCACAGGCTTTTACTCATTGTATGAAGCTGTAATCCAGGAGGAAGGAAAAATAGAATTTTATTATAAAAATAAGAGGACTGACTATGCAGTTGTATTCGTATAGTTCTGTGCAAAGAGATGATTTGCCAGCTTGAACTATATTTAAGAAACTTTGTAAAAAATGTACATGGATGTGAGTTTAAACACACAAAACAACAACAAAAAAGCTTTTATTGATGTTTTCAGTTTGAAAGAGCTTTTAGAAAGATTGTGCTTTCAGTTGTGATCTATATGTATATATACATTAGTCATATCAACCCTGTTTCCTCCAGAACAAGAGGGGACCTTTCTTCTTTATTACTTGTGGTAAACAAAGACATGGGATTTTCTAACATGTTTCATTTGTAGGAGGACATGGCGTCATACAGAAAATAAAGATTGTCTGTGTGACCTGCACATTTCCCCTTACAGGTTGCACAAATGCATGTTAAAGCATTCTTAGGAGATGGTTGTTTTAGACAACATTTATTTTGGGGGTATTAGCCTTCATGAAATTGCAACACAAAGATGGATCAGAAATCTGGAAAAAAATTAGTATTTAAAGTTTATTGAGTTAAAGGAAACACACACACAAAATGACAAAAAAAAAAAAGACAAGTCCAGTTCTGTAGTTCTGGTTATTTGAATATGTTTGGGAAGAGTTGCTTCCCAGTTCAGTATCCTGCCAAAAGTAAAGAAAGCCTGCCTTTTGGTTAGCCTTTTTCTCCCTACCCCCAATCCCCTCCAACCCCCCACCCCTCAGTAAATCTAGCTCTCTGTTCACCAGCAGCTGCGGAAGAACTCTGGCTGAGAAAGTACCTGCTCAGCTTTGCTAATCAGAAGAAATTTGCAGTTTGAAGGAAGAAATGATTTTTTTTTCTTTTTTAAAGAGCAAGGTTCTTATTTACCAAAATACAGTGATGAAGTTTTTTCTTCTGTATTTCATTTATGTGATCAAGCTTATGCCTGTCTGAAAGATTTTTTTTTTGCAGGTTTCTTATATAGCAGTCACCAATCAATGCATATGATAGAAAGAAAAAAAAAGGAACAATTATCAACTATGCTTTGCATGAGTTTTCTTGAAAGTATGGATGGCTTCACTGTCAAATTATCATATGAAAAGAATTAACCCATGACTTTTTTGAATCAGAGAGCCGGAGACAAAGCAGTCATCTTTCAAGGAGTCGATGATCATTTCCTTTTTCTTTTTTAATTTCTTGATTTTTTTTCTTTTTAAAAATTTTCCTAAGGAATGCTTCAAGTGTCATAAGCTGGAAGGAAAAGATGGTTGCTTTATATTTTGTCTTTTGAAAGTTACTGGGTCACCAAGAAATAGTAACCAAAGATACATGAAGAGTCTTGCTCTGCACTTGAACATGTACCCAATCCCAGAAACCAGTTCTTCAATTTCATTTTAAGTTGGACATAACACTGTCACTTCCCCACCCCATGCTGTACCTAACACATATGCTGCCTTGTACCCTTATCTTGAAGTCCTTTGGATAACCAGTCCCTGAAGCATAACTGTAGAAATTCTCAATGTCTGTGAACTCTTTTTTTCAAGAAAGAGGATTCATAGAAAAAAATGTGGTAGTAACATAACAAAGTCATGACTTTCACCTAACTTTCTAACTTACATTTGAGAGTGAGGTGGCACACATATATTAGGTATGCCCCTGAATTAGCCCATGGTGAAGCAACAGCACCTACTTGTATGTAATGATCCCATAGAGAACTGTTTCTTCCTTGATTCATCATTTATTATACCTGACTCTTAGTAGGTTGTACCCATAAGCTATGTATTGCCTCCACTGAGAAAGTAAATAGGCTCTTTGTCAAACAAACAAAGGCAGTGATGCTTGGCATCATAATAAGTTGGGTATGTTTGTAATGTGAATTACAGTATATGTTTAGTACTTCCAATTGTCTTCTGCTAGCAATATGTACAGTAATGTGTCAGGCTTGTGACATTTGGGTAAAACAAAGAGTTTCTGTAAGTGAATGATTTTAGCTTTTAAAAAATGATTATGATCAAAGTCAATTTACTACATCTTAAATGATGTCTGATTTCTACATGGAAAAGTGTTATAGGATCTTCATAGCATTCTATGAGAACAAACTATTCTTGCAATCTGTTAAAAAAAAAAAAGGGAAAAAGAAAACTTTCCCAGGCTTTTATTCTTGACCTTCAAAGGCACGCAGGGTTTAATGGTTTCTTTGGTTATCGTTTTGCAATTTTTTGTTTTTGCCTTAAGTAATGATAGAAGATATATATGGCTGGACACATATGTATAAACTTTTCAGCAGCATTTTTAATAATAAAATATCACAGTATTTTCTAATGCTTTGTGCAAAGAATTATGTGTCCATCCTTTTTTGTAGGCAATCTGGTTGTCCTCCCTGCTCTCCCTCCCCATTCCTGAACCCCTTCAAAAGCATTCTGAATTGTCAAAGGGAAAGGATATGTTGTGACATAGGCTATAAACATACTAATTAAATTAGTAACGGATGTATCTTTCAAGACACTGCCAAGTATACTTTTCTCATGCCATTACTATCAAAGCTCTCCAGGCCTGCTGATAGGATAAGTAAGCTCTGGACTTTGAAGCTCAGGATATAAAGATGCTGCACAAAAGAAAATGCCTTGTATTTCTTACTAACATTGTTGGTGATTCCTATGGAACTGTGTGTTTAATCTGTGTTTAACACTATTGTGTATCAGATTGTTTGAAAGGAGAGCATATTTTCTTCCCTGCCTAGGCAAATCTGAAGCCTATAAATTGGAAATAATAGTAGTACACAAAGTAGGATTTGAGGGACATCAAATTAACATCACTTTAAGTTAAAGAAAAATGTGCACTCTGATGTTAAGATGGAAAAATAATTAGCAAATTTATGAATTAGAGTGCTATTTGTCCTATTCATAAAAATGAACTTTTTCTTAGCATAAAATAAGACCCAGATACATAAATTATCTGAATAGGCAGAAGATAGATAAAAAGATTGATATGTACCATGAAAACTTTTGAAAATATATTCTAGTTTGTATTCATCTGGTGATAAGTTATCGTATTCATCTGTTAAGTTATATTTTGATCTTCTGCCATATTAGAACTCATATACTATTGATCTTTCACACCTTTTATAGGAGATAGCCAGCATACTTTTGTTGAAGTCAATGTCCTTCTTTTAGCCCTGATACTTGCTATCTGTATAATCTTGGGCAAGTTATTTATGGGTCTCATTTTCATCATCTGTAAAATGAGGTTGTCTCTAGCTCTAGAGCTATAATCCTGTGAAGTGTAGTTTAGAAAATGTATATCCAGAAATGTATTTTCCCTCAGACTCTAGCAGCTTTCTAAAGCATTAAAAACCCAATAAGTAGTAAAACTCAATCTCCTTTGGTCATCCCCATTGTTTGCAGGGTTAGAAGTCACTGGGTCTATTTTTATAGGCTTGTGGCTATGTCCTTTGTAACTTCATTTGTGGTCATTTATCTCCCTCCCTCATTGCATGAATTTATTTACAAAGATGCTATTCATTAATTGACTAAGGATGAAAAGCGTCTGAACCCATCAGCAACAGAGAATAAAGGTGATGAAGATTCATGTATTTTTTATTCTTTTCAATGACTAGCAACAGTGGATAGTGAATAGTCCAATACCAGCTTTTAAAAAAATGGTGAAGTAGGTGTTCATCTCTGGTGTTTGCTCACTTTGTTTTCTTTTTCCCCTCTCCCTACTCCTATTACCTTCCCTCCAGAAGTGTTTTATGCTCACTGATCCATAGAATGCCCATAAACCCCCACTGATTTGTTCTTGTCAAGCTAGTGTTCTCTGATTTGAAATATTCTCTTCCCCTAGACTTCCATTAAAATTCTCTATCCCTCAGGGTCATTTTCATGATATCAGAAAGAAACAAATAAATAAATGAGTGGATGAATAAATAAATAAAGGAGGAAACAAATAAATGAATGAATGTTTAGGTGTTGATGGCCAATGATAAGGATGTTTTTACCCCTTCTCAAAGTATTTAAGTTTCAAAAGATGCTAAGAGATGTTACCTACCGAGACAGTAAGGTACTAGTCAAACCATCCTAATGGACAATTGAAGGAAGCGTTTTTTGGCAAAGGACTCTTCCCAGGGTCCTTTATCATACCATGTAGACCATAGTTTACTAGTATACCTTTGAATAAATACAACCATACTGGGGAAAATGCTATCCACGTAGGCATAGATTTAGAGTTACATACATCCAAATTTTATTGGACAAATTTGTGCCTAGACATCTACCAGTTAGTTTTTGGAGGTCTAATAATCTCCAGGAGTAGGAGATCATGACTTCTGTCATCCTATAGATTTTGCTTCTACTTTGTCTGGTTACTCAATTCCAGAAAAAACCTAGTTAGAAGCTCAGTTCTCAGTTCAGCTAAGGATACATCTGAAGTTTCCCCAGGACCATCCTGAAAAACACTAAATGATTACCTAACCAATTATTAACTTTTTTTCTTCAAGTAATAAAGGATAACAATTATTGTAGGTCTAGTCATAAGTATAGCGTGTTAGAAAGTGTCAGCTCCCTCATTTGGGAAACTAAAGTACAAAAAGAAAGACTCACAGCATGGATAGTCAGTTAATAAAAAATTTATTCAGCACCTAGATGACTTTGCAAAGCCCTGCCACACTTAAATCCAACTCACTTGCAAGTTAAGATATTACCCTCCTGATGTCATGTTATTCCTCTTCAGGAGCAAGGGACAACAACAACAATCTGTGCTAGGCACTATGCTGAGTTCCCTAGTTTCTTTGGGTAGTGAGTTTTTTTCACATTTACAATAGACAAAATTAAGATACTTTATCACAACTTTTTTGTCTAAAATAAAGCTTATCATTTTTCTCCTTTCATGAGATAATCTATATGGCTAGACGAGGAGGTAGATCCATCCAGGGTAGAGAAATGAGTAAGTGCTGCCCTGATTTTTAAAAATGTAGTATTAATAACCATATAGAGGAGGCCCTCTGTGAAATAAGTTGATCCTAGTATGGAAGATCTGTTGAAAAACATGGACGAGAATCACACAGGATGATGAGAAGGTATAGATGTGATCTCCACTGTCAGAAGGAATACCCATATTGATGAGATCGTAGATACAATGAAATACTTCTTTCACTGAGTTATATTTGTACTTCCTTCTTGACTTGCTATTCCTTTGTTGTGTAAATACAATGCTCATGCTGTTCCTTGATACTTCTCTGTAGAAACTTTATGTATTCTCCCAATTTCCATTTCAGGCCATCATGGAGCTCTTGGTTTAATCAGCTTTATTTCTGAGCCTTGTGCAGTAGCATGGCTTATTGCTGACACATTAAATATATGTGCTCTAGATATATTTTATTGTTAATAAAATATATTACATATATATTTCACTGTTAGGAATTTCTAACAGTAATGTGCTTTTTAGCAGTTGTAATTTATGTTTTCTGATTTCCTAAAGTATGTCAAAATAGGTATATTATTCTCCCAGATTTGTGTTTTGAGTGTTACTTTATTTATAGAAACTTCTTTCTCACATTTCTTCACTGGACATTTTCAGTAAGTGTCCTTAAATGTTTTAGGTTGTGGGCTCTCTGTTTCCTTGTTTATAGTTTAGTACTACACATATGACTTCCAAATACAAATTTTGTGTTATCTTTCTCTCTTCAGAATGCCTGGATGAAGACTCAGATTCAGAAACTCATCATATAATCACTAAAGAGAATGTGAAAGTATGAACATAATGAGAATCATAAGTAATTAATAGCACAGAGAAATAGGTTGTTGATGCTGAATTGTTGATCTGGCCCTTTATTCCCTAAGAAGAGAATATAGGAATAAATGAAACCTTTGCAAGGTCTCTCAATGCCAAACAAGTTCATAGTAAAAATACTGTTTGAGCACGTACCTATTCTTTTTGCAAACATTCATATATTATTTTATGAAGTCTAAATTGACAGGAAACTTTTCCTCAAGTCTATGTCCAGCTGACAGATCATTTGAG